AATATATGAGTTTGTATGTAATGTATGAATATAATATACAAGTTTCACTTTTTAAATGGAATTACTGAAATAAATCTACTTTTTCATGATATTCTAATTTTATGACCAGCACCTGTATATTATGTTTAGCAAGTTAACATGATTAGTTGTTGTTACCTGTTACATCCCTTGCCAAGCTAGTTTTATTAATGCTAGATACTGTAAACCCAATCATCTTTCATTTCTCATTTCTCAGGTAAGGAGAAATTATGACTATTATTTGACTAATATTCTTGAAGTGGAACAGTCTTTAAAAACWGGTGTAAAGTTTGAAGTCTCTACTTTTGACATAATTTGTAACAGAGTCTCAGATAATTAACCACAAAAAGATGGAGGTTAAATCACATGACTGGATCACATCCTGTTGACTTGGAGAATTGCAGGGAGAAACCAGACAGGTATCAGGACAGGGTTTTCACAGACATTTCAGAAGTACCATTCATACTCCAAAATATTTTTATTTTATTATTGTTTCTACTTTGGTCCAATATGAATCTAGAGTTTATAATATTATTTTGTTATTTACCGGCAATTAAAGAGATGATTGATAGTTTTAGTTCAAAAGCAAAAACTGACATGGATGTTTAAAAATGTAGTTTCATTTTTGTTTATTATATGTATGACATTTTTTTTGTTGACTACTTCATTATTTGTGTTCTTAATGACAGCAGGTATGGGTCATACAATTTTTCTTTATTTTGCTTAGTTTTGCACATCTTTGCAGTCACATTTACTAAAATGTTGATGTGTTTAGTGATGTGTCACTTCCTATGTTTATGCCATTCTTTGTCTGAGCCTACATCGAGCTAAGTAATAATTTGCTTACTTGGAGGTACAGTATATATAACAATTGGAGTGCTCAGAGACCACATGACTTTGTGATCGGCTGTAGAAGCTAACGGCTAGCACAAAATGGGCAAGTCTGGATTTCCCATTACTGTACATGTTGACAACAGAGCAGAAAAAAGGACTGACGATGGAGAAATCATTAAAAC